GCTTAAGGTGCGCTAGTGTTGAAACTTAAGGTGCGTGATTTTCCTTCTTAAGGTGTGTGATTTGTATGCTTAAGGTGCGTCACTTGTTGAAACTTAAAGGTGCGCCATTTTAAAACTTTAGGTGCGTGATTGGTGTTTTTAAGGTGCGTCTTTTTTAGTTACCTGCACAATCGCACGGAAAGCGGTACCCACATCAAGTAATTAAATTAAATAAATTAAATAGCGACAATGCTAGTTTAGCACACTTTTTAAGTTATGGTTCAAAGATTATGTAAGAATGAAGATAAAAAAAATATTTTATCAATCATTATACCGTGTACCCGGGTATACCATGGACTTTGCTTCTAAACGACATAGTTTTGAATTTTAATTTTGACGACTATTTGTTGTTCAATTTATGTTACAAGTTTTTCTTTTTTTAAAAAAAAATGTAACATGTGTATGTGTCTTGTATTATACGTTTCTATGTCTCATGTTATGCAATTTTGTATCTTAAGCATATGAATTTTATACTTGAAATAAAGTAAATATAACATGTGTTTTTGTGTCTTGTGTTATGCGTTTTTGTGTCTTGTGTTATGCGTTTTTGTGTCTTATATTATGCAATTCTATACCTTAGAATATTGATTTTGTACATAAACTAACTAAAGTAAATATCCTTTCAAAAAAAAGTAAATATAAAACATGTAGGGATCCGTGGAGCGGGTAAAATTTAGAATAATAGCTTGTTACTTATGATAGAAATCATAATATCTATTTCAGAAATTAATGCCAATTTCAAAAAAATAAATTATTACTTATAATAGATGTTGTAATATTTATATGTGAAATTGTGATACTATTTAGAGTAAAATCATTGTTAATAATGATTAATGCTCCGTATTATAATACTTATAACTGAAATTGTGATACTTAAAAAATTTAATTCTAATGTAAATATTGTAATACTTATATGTGAAATGTTACTTAGGGTCTGTTTGGAAACCCGAAAAATGACTTCTGGAAGTCATTTTCTAAGTTTTTGGTGTTTGGGAAGGCTGAAAATGAAATAGTCAAAGGAAAATGACTTTTAGTCAATGGAAAATGAGGGCTAAAATCTGGAAAATGATTTCCCCTTTTTTTTGGCGGAAGTCATTTTCCATCTTTCAATCAACATCTGTAGACACGCTTCTTCTCCCTTCGCTGCTTCTTCTCGCTTCACTGCTTCTTCAACATTCAACAAAGAACTACCAACACATCTCCTCCAACTACAAGGTAAATATTTTTATTTATTTTTAATTCTTTTTTTCTAAATATTATGCCTGGGAAAACCAATGAGTCTGATTTTCCGCATCGAAAACCAAATCTGGTTTTGGATGCGGAAAACCAGTCACTGGTTAATGAATATTATTAGTTGTTGAACATTTCTTATTGTTGTGTACTTGATTATACTTTGTTATTGGATATTATTAGTTGTACTTGAGTATGCTTTGTTGTTATTGGTTGACATTGGTTGTTATTGTTTTTATGTTATTATAGCAACATGAATAAGGGAAAGGGAATTGCCACTTCTAAACAATTTCGGTGGACAAAGCCAATGGAGGGCGTATTTTTAAAGATATTAGCTGAAGAGGCTAGGAATCCTAATAATCCAACTAATAGTTTTAAAGCCTCTTCATTCAATCGTGTTGCAACGGCCATATCCGAACAATTTAATGTTGCATGTGAACTCAAACATGTTGAGAATCACTTGAAAACAGTGAAGAACACTTGGATGATGATTCTGAAGCTGAAGAACATGAGTGGTCTTGGATGGGATGATAACTTAAAAATGGTCACATGTGATGAAGCCCCGTATATGGAGCTTATCACGGTAATATTTTAGTATCATAATTTGACTATTGCATAAATAATGTTTTTTTAATTAGAAAAGATCTCATGTTTTTTTTTTCATAGGCAACTCCCAAGTATGAAACATTGTTGAACAGGAAAATTGATTTCTATGATGAGATGTCCATTGTCGTTGGCAGAGATTGTGCCATAGGACGGTTTGCAAAGTCTTTTGCAGATGTCAATTTAGATGGTCCTCATGATGAGATATTGCCTAATAACATTGATGAAACCCTGCCTGATAACATTGATGAAGAAATTAGTAAGGGAAAAACATCTGCATCAACTGCGTCGTCTCAAAGATCCGGTCGGAAGCGAAAGACACTTGACTTGAAGGTGGATGAAATTGCTGAACAGCTCGGTAGCATTGCCACGGCAATTAAATCTTTGAATACCGGTATTGATGAAAACCAGTTGTTTGCGGATGTTATGAGCATAGGTGATGGCTTTCATGAGGATGACCTATGTAAGGTATTTGAATACTTGATGACAAATGAGGTTCAGGCGCGAATTTTCAATGCGAAGAATGCAAGTTTGAAGAGGAAATGGATTGAGAAATTTATTTCTTCTACGGATTAAATTATGTATGTCTTTTTTGTTGGTTAACATGCATGTTAAGACTTGGATTGGTTATGTTGGATCTTAGTACTTGTTATATTGGATCCTAACACTTTTTGGACTTTAATTTTCAAGACATGATTATTTATGCGTTTATGCTGTTTCTAACATGTAATTGTGATTTCAAATTGTCATATTGTGACAATAGTTTTAGTACTAGAAAGATAGAGAGCAATGGCATTAGAATTAAATACAATCAAAATTTATGTTGCATATAATTTGTAATAAAAATTGTTATATTCTACAAACAAAAATAAAAATATATTATTCGGTATATAATAATTAAAATGTTTAATAAAAATAAGTATGTCATTCTGTTCATTTTCTGGAAAATGAACCAAACACCAAAAGACAGTTTTCCATTGTGCAGCCAAACACTGGAAAGGAAAATGACTTATGGAAAATGACTCATTTTCCAGAAGTCATTTTCCGGGTTTCCAAACAGACCCTTAAGATAAAAATTGTAATACATATTGTAGAAAATTGGAATAAGGGTCAAATAGGCTTCCGAACTGCACACCAAACTACAATTAGGCCATCAAACTCAAAAAAGATGCAATTAGGTCCCTGAAATACACAAATTCATGCAATTAGGTCTAAAATGACATGGGTCATGTAGGTTGCGAATTTTAAAAATAATTTTAAACGAAAAATTAATTTTAAAAAAAATTGTCTCCATGGTAGGAGACGAAGGACGACCGGAGTCTTTTTTTTTTTTTTTTTTTTTTTGTTAAATTTTTTAATTTTTAATCAATTTTTTGTTTAAAAATATTTTAAAAATTATTTTGAAAATCCACAACCTCCACGTCAGCAAAGTATCATGTAAACAGGTCATTTTAGACCTATTTGCATGAATTTGTGTAGTTCAGGGGCTCAATTGTACTTTTTTTTTTAGTTTGATGGCCTAATTGCAACATGGTGTGCAGTTTAGTGGCCTATTTGACTCTTATTCCTAGAAAGTTTAATACTCATTTGAATTAACAATAAATCGTTACATATGATAGATACTATTTAGGATAAAATTTATTGTTACTGATGATAAATATTATAATACTTAGGAAAAATGGCACTTTTGGTCCCTCAATTGTTTCCAGATATGCAATGTAGTCCCTCATTGTCAATTTTGCTAAATTGGTCCCTCAAATGTTTCAATTGTAGCCCTTTAGTCAAATTTGTCACTAACTAGTGTTAAAACCATGGTCAATTTGGTAATTTCGCAATAGCCTTAGTTACACTCATTCTCCTCCCACGCTATTTACCCCAAATGCATTTTACATGTGGAATTGATGAAGCATATCTCCCAGCATTATTTCTGGCGAAATCTGAAAGTTGGCCGAGAAATCATTGTGAAATGGAAGCGACGACGTCGACTGTGAATCCTCAAAACCGGTAATGGAATCCCAGAACTGCGCTTGAACCCCAACTCGTCCTTGGAAAACTCCAAACTGGTTGTTGACACTGTTTTCACGGCGAAAGAGTCCACCGCTGGCAAGGGATCGGATTTTGCGGGGTTGGATTTTGGGAAGAACCCGTTTAGGACTTCTTCTAGCCGGCCGGAACCGGAGGGCTCGATCGGAAAGAAGTCCATCCCGGTCTCTTCAATTTGGGAGCATGGGTTTTTAGCCGGCTCCGGGAACTTTGGAAGGCTCACGGTGGTGTAGAAGACGTTGCTGCGTAGAGAGCTGAGGTTGTTGTTGAGCATGGAAGGGAGATGGATGTTTGAAGTGGCAACGGCGACAGTGGTTGATGATGGGTTGAGAAAATCGTTTATCGGGAGCGTGTTTAAAGATCTATTCATCTTCCTCGAAAGATTGTAAGGGTTAGAAAATTAAAGTTGGACTGAAAGAACTGTTTGGTGGGCAAATCCTTGAGCGGAATATGGTGATGGGAAGTGAACTTGTTGCTGCTGTAAAGAGGATGGCTTAAGCAGTTGGTGGCGGGGACGAGCGGCACCGGGTACACAAAGTTCGTTCTGGCTTTAACCCCACGCATAGCTCTAGCGGCACAGTCATAAGCACGGGGTGTAATTACGGCTATTGCGAAATTATCAAATTGTCCATGGTTTTAACACTAGTTAGTGACAAATTTGACTGAAGGGCTACATTGGCTACAATTGAAACATTTGAGGGACCAATTTAGCAAAATTGACAATGAGGGACTACATTGCATATCTGAAAACAATTGAGGGACCATAAGTGCGATTTTTCCGAATACTTATAACTAAAAATCTAAAATTGTGATACTTACAAAGTGTCTTCATTGAGCATTTCACCCAGTTGTCTACAACTCGACCCATAACAGGGATAACGACCCGTGAGACGTGAGACAATTTCACAAAAGTTTTTGCCCCGCACCAATACCATGTAAGGAGGGGAAGATTGTAAGAGAAATTTTTGGACTCTGGTTATAATATTAGATCAAGAAGACCAAGCTAATGCAGCTACGTACGTTGAAGTTAAAGAGAATTCATCACTATTAATATTGTTGATCAGATCAAAATATTTTTACAATTCTTAAATCCAGCAGATTATATTGTTCACTCCTAGAAGCAGCCCGGCCTGCAATACAAGGCAGTAATATAGTAATCTGTACCCTATTCAAATTTGCAGCTGAAGAACCTGTGAACCATTTCAAACACCAAAAACAGCCACAACTAACAATCATCTGCTCTGATCTTCCCACACCCTTCTTTTATTGGATTTTGGCTCTATGTGGACCCATCCCATCATCAGTATTGCAATTAATTAGACTCTTTCTTTGCTATAGCTTTGCATCATCTACTCCTCATCTTCATCAAGCTTGCCTTCGATCATCGGGGTATTCTTCAAGTTAAAGAGCAAGGATTTCATGAATCAATGAAAACAAATTAGGATGTGATGAAACTAAATGAAGTTGGGAGAAAAAATTAAAGGAGAGTGAAATATAAAGCAATATAATTAAGAAAAAGAAATGGAGATTGATTGAGAGACCTGTATTGTGTATTTCTGAATGACAACCATATTCTCGTTTCCATAATCATGCTGTTCAGCCTCAATTTGCTTGGCGGACATCACTGCAGAAGAAGGACACATATCTAATTGGATTAAGTTCAATGTTGAAATTTCTGCAAAGCTATTCGGGATCTCTCTCAATCCAAAGCATCTCTTAAGGAATAGACGCTCAAGTTTTGGAAAATTATGAGCACCATCACCAACTTCCCAATGGTTCAGATTACCAGAACAAATTTTCAAACAAATTAAGTGGCAGAATTTCACATTCTCTGGTACTTCCCACTTGTAGCCAAGGTCAGAATACCATAACTTGAGCACCTCAAGCCTTGGTAACTTGCTCAAAACATTAAATACCCTCCACTCAGATATCAAATCATCAAACCTCAGCTTCCTAATGTTTTTCAAGAGAAGAATATTGTTAATAATTTGAGCTGGAATTTCATAGCCCCGTGTATCACCACAAAGAGACAAACTCTCGAGTTGCTGTAAACAGACAAGGTTCTTAGTGCAATCATCATCGGTTTTGCCTATAATAATAGTTACCTTCTTTAGGTTTGGAACTTTTTTAAAGGACTCTTGGTGGCATTGACTATCCTGCAATCTATAAATGACCTGCAAGTTTTGATGAACAGATTTGGGAAAAGATTCACAAATGTTACCACAGTGAATATACTGTAGTTGTGGAAACCTCAAATACTTCAATTCTATATTGTCATACGCTCTATATGTTTGAAGATTCCAAGCGTTGGAGTATAATGAATCATAAGGATTATTTGTCCCAAATTTCCATAGGTATCTCAAATGGATATGAACAGTCGGACACCTTTGAATGGGAAAATGGAATTGATGAGTAACATAGAATACCCTCAATAAGCTGAAAAATTCCAAACTTATTGAATATTTAGGCAGCTCTGGGAAATAAATGATGGACCGGCAGTGTTTTGACAGAGAATGTAACTCAGAGATGTCAAAATCTTCAAATGCCACCCTTTGAATTCTTATCCAACGGACACCTTTCTGAGGGAAATTGGAACCACTTTCATCCACAACATGCAAAAGACTCTGCTTCTCACATTCTCTTACACAAAAGGCATGCAATAAATCATGTACTCCAAACTCCTTAATTTTTCTTCCACAACAACTTCGTTTGCTTACAAGAATTAAGTTTCTATCCATAAGTTCATTTATGTACCTTTTAGCCACTGCTTCAAAACTCTCATTCTTGAATGCCTTTACAAGTCCTTCCGCAGCCCATAACCTTGCAAGGTTGCTAGCATTGATCTTATAATCTTCTGGAAAAACTCCTAAATATAAAAAACAAGCTTTCAAATTATGGGACAAGTGACTATAACTCAATGAGAGGATTCTCCAACATTCTTCATCATCTAGAGTTGATGTTGAAGTAGAACTTATTAGAGCATTAGCAGTTTTCTTCCACTCATCTAGTGTATTGAGTTTTGAAAATAAACCTGCCACCACAACAATAGCTAAAGGCAATCCTTTACATTTCTCAACAATTGGTCTCCCAATTGTCTCAAATTCAACACCATGATATTTGCATGCCTTTTTATGAAATAATTCCCAACCTTCACTTCGATCTAAAAACTGCATTTGATGGGAAAAGTAATTGTTAGAGCCAACACAAGCAGCCACCTCCGCAACGCGAGTAGTCAACAATACTCGACTCCCATTTTTATCATCTGGAAAGCAAGAGTTAACGTCATTCCATGACTCTCTACTCCACACATCATCCATCACTACCAAGTACCTTTGACCCTTCAAACTTTGGTACAGCTGTAATGCTAGGTCCTCACTGCTGTTGTTTACAACGTCTTTAGAGCCAAGAAGACCTAAAAGCATTTGCCTCTTATTGTGATGCTGTGATACAACAACCCATAGTCGTCTGTCAAAGTGGGAGACAGTTGATGGATTTTCATAAACTCGTCTAGCTAACGTTGTCTTGCCGATTCCTCCCATACCTTGAATTGAAACAACTTCGCGTTGTTTAGATGGATGTTGTGTTATCATCTTCATTATAGTGTCGAACTCATTGTTTTTCCCGACCATTATGTCCTCAGTGTGTGAAGCATGATTGACAAGTTCATCATCAGATTTTGGAATAACATCAAGTGTAGTCTTCTTTCCTTGCGCAGCGATGTCATGCTTGTACTCCATCATCATGAGTTTCTCCAGCTCTTCTTTAATGGCATCAATGTCTTCTATTGCTTGTTGCAATACATGACTAAGTCTATGACAATGCTGGGTTTTCTTGGCTGCAGTTTCCCCTTGTCCCATTTCCTCGTCAGCTTCTTTATAGAGATCTACCACATGGAGTTCAATTTCATCTTCTACTCTGTAAGCGACATCTCTGAGCTTTGTTTCCAAGTCTTTAATTGCTTCAACACCATCCATTATGAACTCATCGTCGAAGAGTTGTATCAGAAAACCAAGCTTTTCATGGAGAGATTGGATCAGCTGTTTGTTAAAAGGGATGAGTTCCATTTGTTGTAGGAATGGACGAGGCTCAGGTTGCAAGAACTCAATCTCTAATGTTCTGATAAGAGAATTTACAGCTACACAAGCCATTCTTTTCTCTCTGTGTATATATCTCTGTTAGTATAGCTGTAATGTAAATCAAATGAGAGTAGTTTTTCTCAGTTTTTGAGTGCAGATTAGCAGAAGCTAAGCAATTCAAGATGGGTGGAATTGGGAAACCACGAACTGATCTGATCTGAGTGCAATAATTCATTGCCAACAGCTTTTTTTTCTTTAGCTTTTCAGCTCTAAAGTTTCCATTATTTGGTGCAATAATTCAAAAGTAGGCCAGGGCGTAATGTTTTTTTTTTTCACCAATCAATCAAATGGAGACAGAAGAATGATCTGAGTAAATTTCAACTGAATTAGTTTCATCCCGCGGAATGAGAATACCAGTGCAGTATTATTTTCTAGATTTGGAAGTTTTGATCTTCAAAATTTGCAAGAGTTCAATCTTAATTGTCTCATAAGTGGATTTATATCATAAGCTCTAATGTGTCAAGTTAAAGTGTGTAGCTAGAAGACATTTGCAATAGTCTCTCTCTCTGTGCCAATCAGACAATTGGCTTTCTATAATCATTTGGGAATATAATGTGCTTGTATAGCTGTAACGTGATTTTGTTTCAAGGGAACAAATATTGTTTAAGAATTGAAGAGTTCAGATGTATCAAGATTTTGTTTCCAATTACTAAAGTAAAAGAAATATCATAAATTTATTTTATGATTATCAAAGTTTGAGGAGTCCATCAAACAATTGGCTAGGGTTTTAATTCTTCGAGTATTATTGAATTCTTTTATTTAATGGAATCCTAAATTATATATTATTAATTGAAAAGTAAAACTACTAGGGATATATTCAATCATGCATGACTTTCACAGACTTTTAAAGACTTTTATGAACTTTAAAAGTTTGGAAGTATTCAATTCAAACTTTTAAGGAGTCTTTAAAAGTCAGGTGGTATTCAATCAAGATTTCTAAAGACTCTTTAAATGTCGGGCGGTATTCGATTAAGACTTTTAAAGAGTCTTTAAAAGCTATGCAGTATTCAAAAAGTTATGAACTTTTGTACACTTTTTAATTTGAGGACTTTTGTAGACTTTTCATTTTCAAATATAAAGAGTTGAAATGGAACCATATATCAACCCCAAGATTTCAAAATTTTCTTTCTACCAACTTGAAGGTTTTCTCTCCCTATTTAAACTCTATTTTTCTCCCTATTTAAATTTTATAAACCTTATACCTAAATTCAACAAAAAAAAAAAAAAAAAAATTATCCTATATTTTCTTCATACCTAAACTCTACCAATTTTTTCTCTCTCCTAAACTTTACAATCTTTCTCTAAAAATTTTAAATAATATTATTTTTACTTCATTATTGCTTGTTTATTTTGATTATTTATTTTTTTTACGAACTTTTTATCCCTAACTTCTAAACTTTCTCTATGAACTTTTCTCCTTAACTTCTAAACTTTCTCCAATTCTCCCTAAATACATGAACAAAGCAAAATTTTCATATACCACCGTCAAATTTTACTATATGTTTCATAATATTCATATAAATACTTTTATTTTGATTTTTATTCTTTTTATGTTTATATTCGTAATATATATATATATATATATATATATATATATATATATATATATATATATATATATATATATTGTTGATGTGCTTATTAATAATATATAAGTAATTAGCATATAAATTTCAGCATACTATGGATAAAAATAATAATGTTGAGAATATTGATGTGGGTGAAAAAACTATATAATAAGAAGAATTTTATGATATATTATAACATGTTTTGTAAGAAAATTATAAATGATAAGAATCGAAATCATTGAAACTTTGTAAGGATGTATCAATTTAAAATTTCAATGACTTTTGTAGACTTTTTACAATAAAAAAAAAAAAATTGATACAAGTTTATAAATGTTTTTTATATAGATTTTAATAGTCTTACAAAGTTTTTAAAAATTTTGAACAACTCTATAAAAGTTAATCAAAGTTTATTAGAATCTATCATTTTAAAAGTCATGATTGAATACATCAACCCCAATTTACAAACTTCAAACTAGTTACAAATTGAAAAAATATATATACGGAGTATAAATTACCTTGAGCGATAGTACTCATTTATTAGTGTAGTTTTTTGTGGACTCGTAAATATTCTTAACAGTTATCTTCCGACTCATCTTCCCTCACCCTTTTCTATGATCCTCAATCATGTCATGAATCATTGAATTTAAATTTGCTTAGCACGCACAAGTTGATAAAATGTAATTGAGGAAGAGAAAATGCAACATACATGTAATGCATTTGTCAATAACAACCATATTGTAGTTTTCAAGTCACGTTGTTCGTTCTAAATTTTCTTGATTGATTTCACAGCAGAAAGATCGAAGATAACCTAGTAATTTGATTGACTTCAATGTTGAAATTTCAGCAAAGTCAATTAAGATCTCTCTCAATTAAAGTCAATTGAGATCTCTCTCAATTTGCGCTAATTCCAATGAAATAGTTGCTCAAGTTTTAGTCTATGGTGGTGGAGCAGAACTATTAAACTCATTTAGATCTTTACTTAATTTTTTTTGGCAAATTTCACTTTTAGTCCTTGATTATTGTGACATTATCACATTTAGTCCTATTCTTTTAATTTTTGCACATTACATCCTTAACTTTCATTTGCTTGTTTTAAAATTTTGTCATCATTTCATAGTTTAATAAAGATGATTAAAATGTAATTTTATCATTAAAGCCTCTTGCCCTAACATGTAATTTCTCTCCTTCTCTTGTAAACTATTTAAACTAAATGATAAAATTTCATTTTAGTAATATATATTTATTAAATGGTCGAATAACAAAAATTTAGGAGGACTAAATTTGGCAAATAAATGAAAGTCATTGATGTAGTGTGACAAAATTAAAAGATTAAGACTAAATATAAAAATATCATAATAATTGAACTAAAAGTGAAATTTGCTATTTTTAAAATTTTTCCTTTAATTATAACACTATCAAATCTCACTATTTTTTTCAAAAAAAAAAATTTATTAAAAATCTCACTATTTCATCTGCGAAATATAGAACTTAATTTTAGCAAGTTCATGTGCGGGAGCATAGGAAAAGAGAAATTTTAGGAATGAATGTTGTTAATTATCTTTTTTTTTTTTTTTTGAAAGTTACTGGCTCTATTACATTGTAGTATCAATGTTGTTGTTAATTATCTATTTGAGCTAATACCAATTTTCGTTCCACGAGCAGGGACGGAGCAATCGTTATACCCTACACCACGGCGCACATAGCATTGTGCGTCGCGCGCCTCCCAAAACGATGTCATTTTGGGATCGTTTTGGGAGGCGCAGTAGAAAGTTGCTGGGATTATGTGTATTTGTTCACACAATTATGTGTATTTGTTCATACAATTATGTGTATTTGTTCATACAGTTATGTACATTTTTTATACAATTATGTACATTCTTTTTATACAATTATGTACATCCGAATCAGAAAATTTGTGTGTATTATGTTAAGAGTTGATGTGTATTATGTTAAAAGTTTATGTTTATTATGTATTATGTTAGATTATGTGTATTATCTTTTAAAAAGAGTATGTATATTTTGTTATATAATTATGTACATTCATGTATACAATTATGTGTATTCTAGTATAACATTATGTACATTTTTGAACAGGGGTTTTTTTTAGAGAAAAAATAACTGTCATTCACTGGGGCGGAAAATTTCAAAAAATAAAAATAAAAAATTAAAACGACGTTGTTTTGCATCTGAGCGCACAGTGCAACACGCGCCGTGGTGTAGGATATAAATTGCCGAATTAGAGGAGCATGGTAATTAGGAGCTTTGGGCCCTTGCCCCCTCCCCCGAAAAAGTTATTAAATGTATATTATTTTTTTTAGTCCCCTTACAAAAGTCGCAAATTATATTGTGAAATCGTGTCCACTTTGTAAGGTGGACACGGTTTCAAAATTGTTCATAATTGTGAATATAAAGTTAAAAAATTATGAATATAGAGTTCATTATTTATGAACATAAAATTTTGTAATTGTGAATATAGAGTTCAATAATTGTGAATATGAAGTTCAAAAATTATGAACATAAAACTTATAATTATGGATATAGAATTCAGTAATTATGATTATATGTTAGATATATTAAATATAATATATCTATATTATATATATAAATAAATATATATTATATATATATATATATATATAATTGAGAGAAGAGGGAGAGGAATGAATAAATGTTTATTCACTGGGATGATTTAACAAATGAAAATATACCACATATTTATACTAAAAGAAAGCTAATAAATAGGAAGCTAATGCACCATGTACTACTCCTATAATCTAGGCATGTTCTACATTAACATACATGACTCACCCATGTTTGTTTTTATTAAATTCTTTGACTTGGTTTAATTACTAATAATAATAATAATAATAGTAATAATAATAATAATAATAATAATAATATTATTATTATTATTATTATTATTATTATTATTATTCTAACATTGCCTCCTTTAAACCAAGTTGGATGTATTGGTCATCC